TTCCGATTGGTTAACTCCATTCTGCTCCCTGAATTCCCTCTGCGGTCTGTTGGGTGGGTGACTGATAGTTCACTTCCTGTCCTAGTCGGGGTGTAATGCTCTTATCCTGGAGGTGGCTGACTTTCAGAGGTTGAGGGGTGAAGGGTTTGGTATACACAGTACCTCTCTTACTTGCCTCAATCGTGAGGCGAGGCATAACATTTGATAAAGCCCTTGGAGGAGAGGCAACAATGAAGGGCAACCACTAACTAATGGGAGTTAGGAAAGAACTTCTCCTGTGAGCAGGCTTTTCTCTTACAGGGGTTTTGTGCCTGTTCTGAAGAATCTGATACTGGCTACTGTTGTACCCAGGATAGCAAACTAGATGGGTCATTATTGATCTGATCTGCCATCGCAATCCCTGTGTTCCTGCTAATAAGAGAAAAAATCAAATTTGGTTCAATTAAGTGAGCAGTGCAGCCCTTGTATTAGCTGTTCCATCATTTTCCTCGCTCCTTGTATTCCTGTTAGGAGCTTTTCTATCTGATTGTCAGCAGCGTGCATGATTAAGCCCAGATGTAACCAGGTAATATTCCAAACATATTCAATGTAATGTTGCTATTTAAAAGGAAGGCTTGTTTCTGTCCCATGCGTCACTCATGCACAAGTTAGTTCTGTTGATTGCTTGTCAGCTGCTCTCTGTAGGGTCATGTGTCAGTTGAACAAAGGCATCCAAGTATTAATCCATTCATTCTTTACTCTAGGATTAGAAGAGCAACGTCAACACTGGAGACCACAGGAAACCATTCAGCTTTGTATCACACAAGCAAGGACTTATTCAAGGAACTGTATCTTCAGCAGAAGGTCCCTAAATGGGAGCTCCTCTGACAGTAATCTCTGTGTAGTGATGACTTTTTGCACAGATAGCCACTTCAATACAAAATAATAAACTTGAAATAACCAATGTAGTGTCTTGAGATCTGCCTCGTGTAGCTCTTTGTTTCTGATGACCATATTCATGCTTTCTGAGCTTTCTCATTCATTGCAGGCACTAAGATGGTTTTCCTCCTGTTTGGAACATTCTCATAAAGTAGCTTTGTTGGTTCAGTCTCAGAATTGATGAACACAAGTTTTGAAGAGACTTTAATGTTGCCTAGGCTCTGCAAGGTTTCCATGTAGCTCTTGTGGGATAAACCTCCAAAATGAAGGCACTTTAGTGGATTTACTCTTCATGTAAATAAGCCACGAGGAACACTGTTGACATCAGTATTTTAACAAAATCTCCAACATATTCATCACCCAAAGCCAAAACCCACTGAAGTTTCCACTGGAGCCTTTGTGGAACAATATATTTACTGCTGAAAAAAATGAGTTGTTTGCATCAGTTGCTTTGGAGGAGAAAGTGCTCCTGAGGGCGACGAGACATGATTAAGATAATCTGATGTAAATGGCCAGCCCCATTTTATCAGAACCTAACTCAGCTTCTTGGTGAGTAGCACTCATCATTCCTCTAGAGTTGCAAGGGAATGTTGCATGACTGATGTGGAGGCCACAATGGGCCTGTCAACAACATGCCAACAGATGTGCGTGCACATCATCTTAGCATGTTTGAGTCATGTATAGTGCCCCCATGCCATCAGAACTGGAGAGAGACTCCCTGAGGAAGAATCCCCCAGTCTCTGGCTAGTTGCTGCAGGGTCACAAGCTATCAATTGTGGGCTCTAAGGTGCTCGTCCCAGTAATATGTGAATGCCACATAAACATTGATGAATTTTATCCTCACGGGCATTATTATCATTATACAGGTGGGAAACCGAGGCAGAGAGATTAAATGACTGGCCTCAAGTGTCATAGGGAATCTGTGATAGAGCCAAGGATAGAATTGAGATCTGATTTCTAAAGCAATGCCTTCCCAACCTTCCTATCTCACTGGTGGGGCATTCCGGGAATGCTCTGAGAGCCCAAGTTTAGTCTCTGCTTTTTGGTGGAGAATAACTTGTGTTCTTTAGCTTCACCTTTTGAATTGCACCGTCGTCTCGTTCCAGACTTCATGTGGTTTAGTTAGCACTCTTTGTAGCACTCTTGCTTGGGGGCTGTTGTGCACAAAGTTTATGACTGGAACGTGCAGCCTACAATGAAAACAGTAGCTAAAAGACCTTGAGTAAATCAGTAAGGACCCAAAACTGTTAAGACCATCACTGGTCATGAGGAACCTCCCATTTTAGTGCTTTTTTGCACATGTGGAGTCGGTTCAACATGAAGTAAGAGCCAATGAAGCTATTGGAAACCATTCCAAGCTGCATGTAGTTGAGAATTTTTCCCAAATACGTAGTGATAAATGCTCTGTGCTATCAGACTTGGAAAATAGGCATGGATTTGTGATCCTTCTCCTCTAGGCTTAGCCACAGGTTTGCTGTCCTCTATTTTAAACCCAGAAAGTTGGGAGAGTTAATAGCCCAGATCCTTGGAGTCTTCCTTCTCCACCCCGATTCCATCTCCAAAATCAGTGGATGAGGCTGCATGCAGGAATGTTGCACATCTGCCATTCCTGTTTTTTTAAACACTTGTGTATCGCATCATAAATAGCAGAGCTCTGCTTGAGAGAACTGGGGGGTGGGAAGAAATATCAATTTGCCTTGGTTGGGAACAGCAAACCTCTTCCATCGTGTCAATACTTTGGTTTTGCAGGTGGAACTACTTTTTCCTTTATGATGGCTCAAAGGTAAAGGAAGAAGGGGATCCCACAAGAGCTGGCATTTGCTACTTTTATCCCTCTCAGGTAATGCCTGCTTTTTTATTTCTTCCCAAATGTCTGTCTGTCTGTAGAGTTGCAAACAATTTTATATATAAAGTATGTGTAAAGCCAACCTTCTGTTCTTGGAATGGTGGGGCTTGCAAATATCTGGGTTTGGGTAAATTTGTAACTTTGGTGTTTATAAAAAGTTTCTTTATTTTTATTTTATTTGTATTTTTAAGGCCATGTATAGTGCAGCTCTGCCAACATACCTCAGTCTTGATCCACAGCACTTCTTGTTTTCCAGCCTTAGGCCCCTATGGGTTCACCTTCAGTGCAGTAAAAGACCATGGCACGGCCGCAGCTGGCCTAGGTCACCTGACTCAGGCTCATGGGGCTCAGGCTGTGGGAGTAAAAATAGCAGTGTAGAGGTTGGGGCTCAGGCTGGAGCCTGGGCTCTGAAACCCAGGGACGGGGGGTGGGTCTCCGAGCCCAGGCTCCAGCCTGAGTGTCTACATGGCTGTTTTTAGCCCCGCAATCTGAGCCAGCTCTCTCAGGATCTAAGACTCCGAGCCACTGGATTTTATCGCGGTGTAGACGTACCCTATATGGCTCTGTGCAGCGCACCTTACGCTGTTCTTTAGCACTCTGCTATTTCGGTTATGGGCCTCTCCGTAATGCCCCATTCTGTGGTGGTGATATGGACAAATATCCCCTAGGGATAAGACTCACTAATTCTTCTTGTTCTCTTGGTAGGGTTACTTGTGCTTAAATAAGACTTCAGCCTCAGTGACTGGGATGAAAAGTCAGTGCATGGTGTTATCAAGGCTTTGTTCCATATAGTATAGTAAACACCGTCAGTTACTTTATCATCACCAGTTCCATCATGCTGCTGTGTAAATGTGGTGCCTTTCCAGCTTGCCAGGAATGCTGCAAAATTCACTCTTCCCTCCTCCTCCTCTCACAGACTCTCCTTGACCAGCAGGAACTGCTGTGCGGACAGATTGCAGGAGTGGTGCGCTGTGTAACGGAGATCTCCAGTGCTCCCCCGAGTCTCATTCGGCTGAGAAAGCTCAAGTTTGCAGTAAGGGTGGATGGAGAGTATCTCTGGGTGAGTTACAACGAACAGGAGGCACGTAAGGAGCTCGAATAGTAATAGAAAGTATCTACTATTGTATCAAACTAAGTACTTGTATTGTTTGATATGTCCAGCAATGGCTATTAGCCAGGATGGGCAGGGATGGTGTCTCTAGTCTCTTTGCCAGAAGCTAGGAATGAGCGACAGGGGATGGATCACTTGATGATTCCCTGTTCTGTTTATTCCCTCTGGGGCACCTGGCATTGGCCACAGTCAGAAGACAGGATACTGGGCTAGATGGACCTTTGGTCTGGCCCAGTTTGGCCATTCTTACGTTCTTAGAGTGCTAGTGGCAATGGCCTGGCAGCATTCAGCCGAGACCTGCAGCTGTAGGATTCGACAGCTAGATGGAGTTTGTGGGCCAGTGGAAAGGTGTGAACTAGCTGAAAACAGAGCTCCATGGAACGTAGCTTACAACAAAGAGCTGGGATGCTCATTCCCTGCGCAAAGCTCATTGGCAGTGATGGTGGACTTCTCATTTGAGGGGCAGATCTGGTTTCTCTGATGTGATGTGGTCACATGCTCTGAGAACTGGCTCATTCAGTGGGCAGTCCCACTCAGGTGGGGTAAAGCCATGCTGCAGGAAGCTCTCCTGAACAGGCAGACCCCCCGACAGTCTAGTTACTTCCATGGATTCTCAGAAGTTTGATGCACTGCGTTGCTCCCTGGTGGAAGAAGTGGAAACCCTCTTCTCGAGTTCATTAACTAGTGAACTGAGCCTCGAAGTATTCCATTTGGGGACGATGTTCTCGGCCATTTAAACATTAAACTAGTGGTCAGGCCCCTGAGATTGTGAGGGAATGGAGAGTATGTGTCTTGAGCTCGGGCTTTCTACCTCTCCTGCCAGGGACCCCCCTGGCTCTCATGCATCGCCCCTTGCTTTTCCCCAGACATATGGCTACCTAGGGGGCTTCCCAAACTGAGTTTTGGGGAGTGCAGCAGCTGTTTGCTTCTCCTGTCACCTGGCTACTTCAGGAAAGTTTTTTCTGTAACCTTGTGTGTTGAAGGTGCTGGGCTGTACCATCGAACTCCCTGATGTCAGCTGTGGACAATTTCTGGATCTACTGATTGGACTCTTCAGATTTTACAATGGATCTGTGTGTCATGCTTACATGGTAATTGCTAATTAACAGTGTTCAGTGTTTCTCCCTGATTAGGACGAGGGCATGGACCTCTCAGGGAACAGCTGAAGCCTGCCCAGTTACGTGGAGGTTCGCATATTCCCTCTGGCCCTCCTGCCACCAGTGCAGCTCTGAGATCGCAGGAACGCGAGCTGGGAAAGTCCTTAGGTCCCATTTCCACAAGGCAAGATCAGTGCCTAGAATCTCTTTTCTATGTTGTTGTCATTGGCATCCCAAGTGATGAGGCTCCCCCCACTTCCCTTGGGAGACGACCCCACATATGACCTCATGAGAAGATTCCTCGTGTTCAGTCTGAAGTCTCCTTCTCTTGTTCCCCCATCCTGTCCCCTCACTGTCCCTACCCCAGTGTACATCATTCCTCTTGCTCCTTAGAATTTAGGCCTCTCAAATAATGTGCAGGTGGTTTCCATTCCCCTTAGCCTAGCTACACAGATCTGACTCTTTGCTTTTCTAGCCTCACTTCACTTCTGCGTATCTTTCTGTCTCTTAGATGCCTTCAGATTTGGGAATGGTGTTCCCAGACCTGAATGCAGTATTCCAGAGGCATGTAGAGAGAGTCTGGCAACTTCCTGCCCCAGGACAAACTGCTGCTGCATGCCAAGGTGCAACCGAAAGTCACATGCGCTCATCTTGCTGCCGTCCATGTTGCACACTGGGCTGTCCCCTTGTCACTGGACTGCGAGGGTGAGCTGGATGATGTCTGAGCTCTCTCTTCCCTCTGTCTGTCTAGTGAGGCTCTCAGCCACCCATCCCAGGTTGGAGGGTCTTTCTCCACCTGGTCTCTATTTTCAATAATGTAAAGCACAGTGCAGACAACTGAGATTGAGGGCTAAGCTGCAGGGTTTCTATGGTACCTGTCTGCCCTCTCTCGTCCAACAACAGTAAATCCTCTCTCGGCGGGGCTTTTGTTGTTGGGCAGACTGGATTCAGTTCCTGATCTTGGTTTAGTGTTTTGGTAGAAGTTTCACTGAAGAGTTGCTGCTTAGAGACACGCTTCCCTGAATTAATCATACCTAACCACCTTGGGCACTCTGGATCCTGTGTTGACTCCAGCCATGCATTGTCTAACCATGGGGATTCTTTCTTCTTCAGGTGTTTTCTCGGGAGGAGCTGAGCACGCAGTGGGACAGGTACATCGAACATATTCAGAAAAACACCAGTGACCTGCACAAGATCTTCAATTCCCTTTGGAACTTGGACAAAACCAAGGTAGCTCTCCTGATCTCTGCAGGGTTAGCTTGTTCTCCTGAGACGTGCCCCCTCTAGTTCTGTTCGCTACTTGGATTATTCCCTGGGGTTTGATGGTTTCATTGTCTTCCTCTCCCTGCACAGGTGGACCCCCTGCTGTTACTGAAAGCAGCTCTCATCTTGCAGACCTGCCAGCGTTCACCCCAAGTGTTGGCAGGTTGCATCCTCTACAAAGGCCGGTGAGTAGCCAAGGACTTCCAAGCAGTCACCGTAATTGTCAGTTCTCAACCCGAGTCGACTGCAGGCAATCCCCTCCTCGGGCTGTACAGTCCAGGGCTACTTTCCCAAGCTACCTCGGGGGGGAGGAAGGCAGAGGAAGGGCAGCGGCTGTATCTCCAGATCTGCCCTCCGGGTACTAACGGGGACATTGCTTACTATGTAGCACTCTCCACCTGGGTAGATCGTTATCCCCAAATGTACTTGGGGAGGTGGAGGCCCTGAGGGGTTAAGGCTGGGGTTTCAATAGGCACCGAGCTCCCAGTGAATTTCAATGAGATCTGAGTGCCCAACTCCCTTAGGCTCATTTGGACAGCTATTCAGTGCTTCAGAGCAAGTGAGCTCTTTGAGGCAGGGACTGTCCCTGTATGTTTGGACGGCATCTGGTACAATAAGGTTCTGACCCAGCTAACGTTAGGTGTTACCACAATGTACATTTTAAATAATAAGCCATCAGTGGCATAGCTGGGAAATAAATCCAGGTGTCCTGACTCCCTGGCATGCTCTGTCCACTGGATCTAGATGCCTGTTTTATTACAAACGTCGTGTGACACAGACACCTTTTACATGCTATTCAGGGTGGCTGGGGACCAGGCCCAGCTGAAAGCCTTTGGTGTGAACTGTTGCTGCTGCTTCCCTGCTCAGTGGGTGACATGTCCCTGAGATCAATGCTTTCCAAATGCCATGATCTGCAAGATGCTCGTTTAAAAGCCTCTTGCATCTGATTAAAATGTACCAACATTATCCTTTCCCCTTTCTTAGCCTGCTCTTCCCCTGCCTTGCCAATAATGATTTTGTTTTCTTAAAATGACTGGCTTGCTGGCCAGGTGACACTATCCACACTGACTGGAATGGATGCAGGGAAAGGGAGCCTGCATCCTCCAGGAGAAATGCTGGCTTGATTCAGCCAAAGATTATCTGTGGACAGGTAAGACTCTACAGCTGTGCATTGTGCCAGGGCAAAGAGAGCCTCTGGGGACAGAGAACAACCTACAGAGCCAGGGGATTAGGGAGTTCAGGCATTTCCTTGTGGCAGAAGTCAGTAAGTCCTCTGTGTCGTGTGTGTCAGTGACACATTTGGCAAGAGGTGGAGGCTTGCTTTGCAGTGAGTGCATCTGACCAAGTCTGAGTGATTGATCTCAGAGCCAGGTCATCCTTTTTATAGGGGTGGCTTCACACGCACAGCAAATCACATGGGTGATGTTTTCCCTGTAGTTCTTAGCATCCAGGCAACTTGTTGCAAGTGCAAAACCCTTATGGGAGTGGAGGTCTGGCTTGAAACTGGGCCTTACGTTCATGTGCTGTGTCCTGCAGGCATGTGTGAGTTGTGCCCTTGAACTCCCCATGTGGTCCCATCACTGACATGTGCCTCCGTCTTCTCCAGCATATTAATTTTTCTCATGGGTAGAAACTCTTTTCTTGTGCAAAACTCCTTTAACTAGAAAGACTCTGGGCCACTTGGCCACCAAGTTCCTTGCAACATCTTCTAGGAATCCCCAAACAGACCCCTAGGAACCTGCAAGCCTCACCCCAGTGCCACAGAGAGAGAGCCTTGTGTTTGAGTCTCTTGCAGAACCTGCATCTCTGCTGGGGGTACGTGAAGAGACCAGACTGATCCTTTCTCTGGACTTGCTGGTGTACCTGCAGGAGAGGCCAGTGTCACGACAGCATTAGTGCTGGTTTTCCTCCTCCTTTCCTCTACCAATGCCCAGCTCTGCAGTGGGATTGGGGAGGGCTTTGCCTGCACAGGGTTTTCTTTGCCTAGGATCACTGTTACTCTTCACTCACCAAAACCAGGCCCCCCAACGAATGGTAAATACCCAGCAGGCAAGTTTGCTTTTGCTGATCCAGCATGGAACTGACCCAGTGTTCAATAACAGCAAACTACCCTTAAAGGGCTGCCCTGCCCATCTGTCTATAGTACTTTACATTAAACACCCCATCCTCTCACCTGCCCACCAGACAACGTGTTCCCCAAGAGCAGGCAGCCCCTGCTCTATTGTCTTGTCTGGTTTTGTCCTGGAACCTCTTTGCCATGGCCTGTCAATCCACAGGGAGTTGTCTGGAACATTTGTGTGTCATGCGATGTGAGGAGGCCCCCAGTGCAGGGGACAAAAAGACACAGGTTTGCAGCACAGGGGGTGCTGGGTAGGACTCTGTATGTTGTTACCTAGAATGCCCTGTGAGCTCACAGGCACATCCTAGCAGCACTGGGATCTGGGCCCTGCGCGCAGACTGTAAGGTACAGGTGTTTGTGGGCGTGCAGTGAGTTCCTGTGTGCTTTGCTAGGGGAGTGTGGCTTCCCCCTACTCGTCTCCAGGAGGTGCCCTGGGACTGGCAGGAGTGTCTTAGGGCCTCGCAGATCCATGGGCCGTTACTGCTGCCTGGAGGTGCTAGTTTGACCTCAGAACATACTTGTCAGTGTGTGACTCAGTTCCATGAAAGCCCTTGGGTTCAGCTGGGGTGTCCGTGTGCGAGCAGAAGGGGGGTCGGAACCTGCTGTCAGGGTGGGGCAAGAACAGGGCACAGCTCCCCCCAGTGAGTGTACTGGGGCTGTGAGAGCAAGAACCACAGCCCTAGAGAGATGGTACAGTGTAGGCTTTGGATCCTACTGGGACTGCATGGGCATGAAACAGATCTGAGCAGCACCTGAAACCCTGCTCTGAACATCTGTGGCTGCCCACTTTGAGGGGTACCCTGCACCGGCCTGCTCCATTAAACTAACGGGGAAGGGGGCCTGACTCTGCTCATGGCTGGTTGTGTTTGTGTTCTACCCTGCTAGGATTGTGAGCACGCAGCTTCCACCTCCTCTCACTGCCAAGGTTCTCCTTCAAGGAACAGAAGCTGCAGACAAGGTATGGTGTTAAACCCAAGCCCAGCGGCATCAGGACCCAATCTGCGTGTTACTTGCACCATAGATCCAGCCAGCACTTACGGAGCTGCCTGATGCTGATGTTAAATGGTTCTACGGTGTCACGAAATTCAGAATTCTTGTTGACGCTCAGGAGTCAAGTCAGGGCAGCTGCTCTTAGGACCTTTTTTCCTGTCAATATTTTGGCTATTGAATTCTCTTCAAGATGCCAAAAATAATCCATCACCCTGCGATTAACCTGGCCAAAGATTGCTGGTTAGCAGCATGCAGAATGAATGAACCCCTTACATTGGCTGAAAAATTAAATGCTTATTATGTGATTTCAGTTCCTCTTCCCAAGAAACAAGGGGGAAATGTTCATAGCTAATTCAGTACTCATCGTTCTTAAAATAATAATGGGAGCGTGGAAAACGTCCCTTGCGGAATTGTAAACATGTGGCCTAACACAATTTGATCTATAAGAATATATTAAATAAATAGACCGATTACTTGTTCTGTATAGTAACTTCTTAGGTGAGTATCCCAGCTCTTGCATCAAAATAACTCTTAACCTTACCCTGCATATTATTGATATGTTACACTGACTGGTGAGTTGTCTTTAGCGTTTCCTATTCATGTGTAATCCCTTTGTTTACTTGTTCTGTTTGTTACTAAATTCACACAGTTTTCAAGAGGCGTCATGCTTGCAGATCTGTATGTAGTTGCATTATGCCACCAGATTGGGAAAGCATCTGTTGCATCTGCTTTGACGTTGGTTCTGGGAATGAACAAGGACTGTGCCCTGCCATATTTATGCAGAGACAGTCAGGGCTAGGCTGTGATACTCTCCCTCATCTTGTGTCCTATGTTTGCTTCCTGGGTAGCGCCGCTGAGCTCAACATGGCTCCCTGAGGAGTAAGTCATTGCAGACCATGAGTAGCCTTAGCACAGGATTGCCCTCAGGGCCTGATCCAGAGTCCCCTGCAGTCAGTGGGAAGATGCCCAATGATTTCGGGGCCCTGGGATTGGGCCTGGGTGAGGGCCTGGTGGCTAATGTTTAACACAGTCTTACTGTAGGCCAGTGATAACTGTGTGCTTTACTTTCAGAGTGTTCCTGGAGGCGGGGAGGTGCTGCAGGAACATGGTAAGCCACACTAGTCGCACAGTGTAAACGGGGAGCTGCATCCCAGGAGCATATGGCCCTTTCCGGGCCTGCTTTCCCTCAGAGAGCCCGATTTTACCCTCTACCGCCATTAAAACATCACGGGGCAGATCTTCATGCTGCTTCTCTTGAAGCCCCAGCTAAAGTTCCATGTGTATCCACTTGGCTAGGACGGTTCCCACCCGGAGCGTGTGACATGGGTACCATGAGGGGGATCTAGGCACTATTTCCTCATCTAAGGGCAGGTTCTCCCACAAATTCTGTGGACTCCTTAACAGCAGATGTAACTTCAGTCCCACACAGTGGTGTGTGTCGACTTGGTCAGTGACGAAGCCATGAAAGCAGAGCTTGGGGCATAAGGCAGGAGGTCGAGTTCTGAACAGCGACTCGTAACTTCTTGATTCTGTCCTTAGTCCCTTTGCTGAGTTAGAGCTGAGAATGTTCAGCTCGTGTCAGGCAGCTCTTCCTCTGCCCTCTCCTCACATTCCCTGCGGTGTCTCTGGGACAGTCAGAAAAGTAACGGGGTATTCGACTGTGCCTGGCACTGTTTGCTAAGGTGATCAGGAAAAGGCTGCCTGGTTAGTCCTGTGCCATAGCCCACGCACCCAGGCTGCAGCCCTTTGCCAGAGGCCTCCTTCCTCTCCTCCCCTCCCACAGGAGGTCTTTGGTGTCTGTACAAACATTGTAATTTCTTCTCGCTGGGTCTGGGTGCGGTTTTGCTCTTGCAGATCCCCCATTGCCTCGGGATGTCTGCATCGTTCCAGTTTTCCTGACGGAAGGTGAAGCCACAGCACTCCGGGACTTTCCAGTAGAGTGGATGACTAGGTAGGACGTGAATTTCTGATGCAGCAAAGGGTCTTCTCAGCAGCTTGAGCTCATCCCACTGCAGAGGCAGGGCTCACCAGCTTCTGCTGCCGTCTTCCCTAAGAATAACATGAGCCCCAAATAAGGGGGTACTGTCAAGTTGTTAAAACTACCATCGTCTGCTTGTCAGGCTGGAGAGCTCTAACTGTCCGTATTCCACCCTCCGAGGAAAGGGCTTGCGCTGCTCTCTGCTGCTGTGCTCTATGTAAAGCAAAACCTCCTCCCCGCCTCAGACTGACTGTGCTGTCATCTCTCGGCCCACTGTGCTCTGAGTAAAGCCTCTGTGCTTCGTGCTTGAGTGTAAGGGAGCCGCATTCCCAGGGCAGGTGATGGGACTGTGCTATTCTGCACATCCCTCACTCTCCACCTAACCTTACAGTGAGGATCCTAGAGGTTGGAGGTGGGCACAGCCTACGAGATCAGCCAGTCCCTCCGTTGCTGGGGCAGGATTTAATCTCCGATGGAGGGTGGATCAGGTTTTGAACAGGAGATGGTTGGTTGGTTGTTTTTCTGATCGTTCCTGGCCCCTGATTCCCCAAGTGACTGCTACTCACTGGTTAACCGAGTGTCTACTCTTGTCTCCTGTTAGGTTGCCCACATCTCCAGCAAACCCTAAAGGATCTAAGAACACCCTCCGCTCACGGGCATTCTCGGATTCGGCCCGGGTTGATGAAGTCCGAGGCCAGCATGCCCTTGTGGTGAGAGAGCCCCCCCCACAGGCCTCGGGCACTGCCAAAGCAAAAGATGCTCTGAATCCCCCAGCTGGAGCGCTGAGCCCGGTGTTGAGTTCTACCCCCCTGAAACCATCCCCTCCATTGCAGAGAGAGCTGGGAGCCCTGCCCAGCAATTCCAAACTGCCTGCTGCAGAGTGCACTCGAGACACAGGCACGGCCTCGGGGTCCTCTGACTTTCCAAAGCCTTGTGCCCTCGGGCAGGAGGGTCGAAGCACTATGGAACCTGTAACCAGCTCTAACACTAGTGAGCGGATGAAGTCTGAATGCCGCAGTCTCCAGAGGCGTCACACAGCCAGTGGCAGCCTCTCCACCTGCTATCCTTCCAAAGAGACGAGGAGAAGCAGCTCAAGCGAACGTGACAATCTGTCAAGTGTAGACAGTCAAGACAGAACCTTCAGAAGAGGAGATGGAGCAGCCAGGGATGACGCTTCTGAGCGGGAGCCTCTGCCCAGTGCTGTATGGGTGGGGCAGAAGTTCCCTGCTGAAGATTGTGGTAGGAACCAGTTTCCTGTTGCTGAAGTCCAGGAGAGCCTACTCAGTGGCACTGCAGAAGGCCAAGGCTCTCCCAAGAGCAGAGAGAACGGTTTGCCTACACAAGTAACTACCGGGATGGACTGTCTAGCAGCAGTAGATTGCACAGTGTCCGGCAAGCAGGCCAAGCTGGTTAAGATGATTTTGTATGTTCACAGAATTAAAGGGTTAGTGCTCTTGCTGCTGGCGGAGGAGCAGTTTAAGGATGACCAGGGGTCCATTGAAGACGTGGTAAGTAAGAAAAAGGTTGCCTTTTTAAATTAGAAAATGTTTCATATACTTCCTGTCTTGTGGCAGTGTGGGATGGTGGCCAGAGCTGAAGAATGGGAGTTTGACTCCTGAATCCTGTTCCCAGCTCTCCCATTGGTTACTCTGTGACCGTGGAGACCGCCATGTGCTTCAGCTTCCTCTAGCCTACCTCACAAGGGTCCAGACCTTCCCTAATTAGTGTTAATAGATGAGCAAAGTATGAATGTGGCTGTGACTCAGTAGTTGTAACCTCTGACTAAATAGCCAGCCCGACTCCAGTGTCCCCAAGCAGAGATCACAAGGTGGCTCGTGCAGGATTCCTGGTCTGTGTTCCGCTGGGAGGGTTTAACCACGTGCCTGGTGTTCACGCAGGCAGAGCAGCAGCAGAGAGCTAGTCCTGCTTCTGAAGTTAATTCTCACCTTCCGCGTTACAGCTTGTGACTCTAAATCAGGTCAGGCTTGACAAAGCCCTGGCTGGGATGATTTAGTTGGGGATTGGTCCTGCTTTGAGCAGGGGGTGGGACTAGATACCTCCTGAGGTCCCTTCCCACCCTGAGATTCTATGAGATACCAGTGAGTTGTGTGTCTGGTGGTGAGTCCATCTAAAAAGAAACCGTGTTTGAAATGGTGGCAGCTCAAAGCCCCATGCACCCGGCTTCCTTACCCACGGGACCTGGCAGGTCGGTGTCCTTCTGCAGGGGAGCTGTGACGCATGAACAAAGGGCATCATGAGGGCACTCCGTGTCAGCAAGGTGGGGTACCAGGACCCAGTGCCAAAGCCATATACCTCTCTTGCAGGCTGTACTGTCCAATGGTGATATGCAGTGAAATGCTCTGGGCTGCTGGGGAAGGGGACACCAGCTGATGCCATCTCCCTAAGGCATTAGAGTCTGCAGAGCTAACACCCGGGCTGTGCCGCTCCCTTCCACAGAGACCTTGCGCATTAGTAACAACCTCATTTCTTTAGCTGTCAGACTCAAACCCAGACTGTTAAGCCAGCTCCCACTGTCAGTTGCTGTTTTCATTCTGAACTGGGCAGGACACTGAGCTGTGCTCAGTAAGATACAGGACTTGTGACCTTCTGGCTGTCACCTTGTAAACAGGGGCACCACCTCAGTGCAGTAAATGAGGGGTGACTCACCAAGAAAGGGACATGCTGCAAAACCAGCCAAGTGGTTGGCAAGGGCAGTGCTAGCTTTCAGGCCGATCCCACCCCACCCATGGCATCTGGGCCTCGCTTCTGATTCCCATTTGCTGGGGGTGCTGTGGCTCTGCAAGCTGGTACTGCAGTTCTGAGGGAGTCATGTTCACCAGCTCCACAGCTCTGCAATGCCTGATCATCTCCTGCTTGGCCACAGCCCGGCTGGCTGGAGACCTCTGTCTGCTCCGCCCTGCCTCCTGGTCTGTTTGTCTCACTCTTCAGTGAGAGTAGGATGACCAGATGTCCCGATTTTATAGGGACAGTCCCGATATTTGGGGCTTTTTCTTACATAGGCTCCTATTACCCCACCCCCTGTCCCGATTTTTCACACTTGCCATCTGGTCACCCTAAGTGAGAGAGAGAACAGCTGAAAGGGAAATCAGGCCCAGCTAACCCTGCCCCTTTGTGCCTTTGTTTTTAAATTGCCACTTGCTAGCTGAAGAGACGCCTGGCCCACTTCTCCCCTTGGAGTCCATGCAAAAATTCCTAAGGCAAGAGATGGGGCCCGTGTGGGGTCCAAAGTGCCGTACCCACAGCATTAAAGCCTGTGGTTGAGTGGGAGGCATGGAATAATCAGTATCCCCATATGCGCTGTTTAAGCTGGGTGGGTTGCATTTCTGTTGGGCAGTGACTACGGACGAGTCCGTTTCCCTTTCTGGCTCTCCTGCAGTACTACCCTGCTATTTTGGATGGGTGGCGGATGTTGTAGAGAGCTGTTTACCAAAGCTCTTCCTGTTGGAGTTGAATCATTTAAACGTTGGGTTTGATCTTCTGCTTTGCAGCTGCAAGAGCTTGTTTTTACACAGCCTAAATGTTGGGCCAGATCTGACGTGATGGGGTCCCTTTGGCTGGACCCTTCCTCTGGGTGTAGGATACTTGTTGGTCCCTGCTGGCAGAAATGCACCCTCCCAGCTGTTGTTTTAGGTGGGATTGGGGGACTGTCAGTCAGCACTCCTGGGTTCTAGTGTTGGCTCCATCACCCCCTCTGACTTACGGCAAACCACTCAGTCTCTCGGTACTGTTTATCCATCTGTAAAATAGACTAACACCCAGCTCCCAGGGGCATGGAGCCTGAATGAATGAATGCGTGTCTAGCTCTGTGAGGCCTTTGAATGCAGACACCAGAGAAGGCCGGAGCATTCTAATCACGTAGCTTGATAGGCACAGGAAGTGCGGACCATTCCATTTCAGGTGGGAGGGTGTTTCTGCCGCACAGACCCTCAGGGCAGAGCAGAAATTGTCATGCAAGGTCTGTCTCTGTGCAGACAATTGGAAGCGACTTTGGGTTTATCCCTTCATTCTGTTGTACAGAAAAGAGAACCTGTTCTGAGACCAGCAGGGTCAGGAGTAGGGTTGGTATCACCAGCATGTAGAATGGAGGCTTAATCCTCCCTGCGGCTGAGGAAAGAACAGAGACAGCCTTGGGGATTAGAAAACTAATCTTCCTAGCACTTGACAGCCAGCAGGCAGCCGACTGCAGTGGGAGATCTCATCCACCCTGCCTCATCCAGGCAGTTCAGCCTGTCTGTGCACCCCACTTAGTAAGAGACAGACGGGTCCTCCATTGCCTTGTTGGGCAGCAGTCCCATTGGCCAATGCCCAGTCTGAGGCAGGGTGTTCTTGGGATCAGTCATAGCCCGTGAGTTATTTGTGGAGGATCTTGGTCTGGGGTGCTGTGGTTTGAATGGGATCAGGGGCAGAAGGGCTGTTTCCAGAAGCCCATCTAGCTCAGTGGGGGGAGGGTTAAAACCCCCTTTGAAGCTGTGAAAAGCTCCGTTGTCTGCAGGGAGAGTGGGGGCAGTGGGACACCCAGGGACAGGGCACATCTACCACCTGGCTTCTGCAATTAAACACCGTTTTATTACGTTGTAACCCACCTAACGCTAATTTTCAATGACAGTAGCAAGTGGCTTCTGCCATCCCAGTAATCAATAGGCTATTCGGTTACTGCTACAAAAAGTAACAGACAGTGCCTTGTGAAAATGGGAGCCCCATAGAGAAGCACTGGAAGGTAGTAAATTCACTGAGTCTTGCATCCTCCCATTGGCGAATTGCAATTGGTGCTTGAAAGGCCCTTTTCCCACGGTAGTGTCCTTTGCCAAACACCTTGCATTACTGACTTGTGGGCCAATGAATGGATGGAGATCCACCAGTTAATACCACACAGGCCACCAAACAGCCTTGAGGTGATAATGCTTCCACGTGTTGGCAACCTGGGCTGGATCAGACCCAGCATTTCAGTCCTCCTCGCAGTCCCTAGGGTCGTTTGCATGTCATCCATGTTTGTTGTCTGAGCGGGTTACAGCCCTCGTTAAACAGGGAAATCTGCTCTGATGCACGTTTGTGTTGCACTGTTTGCAGTATCACAGCAGTCTGGCGTCTCTCAATGGCCTGGAGGTTCACCTGAAGGAGACTTTGCCGAAAGACCATTCCTCTGCAGCCAAAGCCACCTACAGCTTTACTCACTATGACTGCATTCAGAACGTACTCACAGGTGAGGGCTTGTCTTTGTGGTTCTAGGGCTTGCTGCTTTGCAGTACACCCAGAAGAGGAGTTAGTCGTGAGAGCGGGCTTTGCTTTAACTTTCATGTGTTAACATCTCATGCTCCAGATGTTTGCCTGAAACACTGTTTGCAGTTAGCACAGCCATGTTCATCCTTCCTTCAAAAACAGCCTGGGCTCCTGCTGGGCTTAAGATCCTGCTGGCACAGGGCTCTGCCCTGCTTGTGTGGGGTGTGTTCTTCCTGTGACTTGTACACCGTGATCACAGTCAGAAGTTCGGATTGCCGGTGATCAGCCTGCGCCAGGCTCAAGCTAAGTGCCAATGGGAGAGTGGGCAGTGTCCTTTCCAGGGCAGTAAAGATTCTGCCTGACCGTCTCCTGAGGGCTCGATCACCAAAACGTCTTGAACGCATCCCTTCCCCCAGTGGTGTAACTTCCCTCCCAGCTCCTGAGGATAGCAGCACTTGTCAGCAAGTCTCTGGCTGAGAGACAGGATGACGCTGGACGTAGGAAGCAGGGGATGGAGCAGTGATATGGGACTGACCTCTTACATAGCGAGCAGCAGCCCATGGCAGCAAGACTCAGAGCCCGGGTTGACAGACTCTGGCTTGCAGGGCTTGGGGTACCGTGCTATAAACAGCTGTGTAGAGGTTACAGCTCGGACAGGCATATGGCCCTACTCTCTAGGCTTCAGAGCCCGAGCTGCTCTGTCTACACAGTGTTAGTTGGCAAGCCAGGCTTGGAGACACTAGCCCTGGGCTGTGTAGATGTCCCCTTAGGCCAATGTATAGATCCTAGACCACCTCTCCTCGTTCCAGTCCATCCTTACATCTCCCTTCTCCTGCCAGCCCCACAGACGCTAACCTGTGCTAGCCACACACCTTCTCCAGCCCAGAAGAGAGGGACTAGGAATGAAAGAGACCCAAATGATTCTAGGCAATCTCTGCCTGAGGATTTCCTGGTCACCTCTCCGCTCTGTCCATGCCTCTTGGATCATAGTCTCTTCGGGGAATTACTTTGGCTTTATATTTATGCAGTGCTTGAGCACACTGAGCCAGTAACATGCCTTCACCATCATGCCAGTGTTGAGTCACATGGGGTGTCCCTTTGGCTCTATTCTCCGACCGCCCCAGCAGGGTGCAGAAATCCAGCATCCTCTCCTGCTGACCCAGCTGGGGCAAATTACCCTGCACAGGCAGCTACCTAACCTATCCCTCCTCCTTCTCTGCAGCAAACCTGCCCCAGGTCCTGGGCGCTCAGGATCAGCACTTCCTGAGAGCTGCTAGTCTGATCCACGCTGACTTCTACCAACTCCCGACTGCTTCTGAAATGACAATCAGGTAAGGGCTGCCTGGCACCCCTCCTCTCCTCAGCCACAGGAGCCGCTTGGAGGAGAGCGGGGAGCACTTCAGAATACGCTTGCGTTTTAGATGAGGGGCTTGAAGCTACTTGTCTGCAAGAGGCACAATAGTGCCGGTTGGAAATCCCGGCCCGTGAGCTGTTTGTAGGACCCAGGAGAGCCAGGCAAGGCGACCTTACAAACTCTGTTCTAAGGCACGTTGTGTTCTTCTGCATGCTCCATAATCCTAGAGCTGCCTCCCACCAAAGACCAGTCAGCTCAGCTCATTTCCTGAGGTTCAGTAACTAAACACAGGCCCTTTGATTTGCCGCCCACAAGTTGGGCCAGGTGCTGTGTGTCTAGGCCTGATCTTCCCAGCAGAGTGAGTAGTGCCAAAGGGTTGGATGAAGACGTAGTGATAGAATGTTGCCAACTCCTGGCACCGAAAGGTTCTAAGCTACAGCTTTAAATATAGCTGTTCCTAGTCAACTTGGGTCTTGGCTTAGAGCCAAAGGCGCCTGGAATTGGCAGTCTAGATTTGTTTTCTTGCACGGCTTGTTGGGTTGGAAACAAGCTGTAATGTGTGTGGCAAACTAAATTCTGATGCTGCAAGCAAGATGGTCTTATCACAGTCGGAGCCTTTCACAGTGTCACGGTCACTGCCTCCAGCCTGGTCCCAAGGAACTGGTTCCGTTTGCATCCACACCAGCTGCTTGGCCTTCACAGCCATGCCACCACTCCCAGGGCTACTCTGCTGCCTTGGGCGTCCTGGGAAACTCCGAGCAGCTCTTCCCCGGCTGCCCGTGCCCAGAGGGGATGCACACAGTGACAGCAGCAGCACATGTGGCTGTCAGACATAGATGCACCCTGCTCTTATGAAGTGGTCCAGCAGGAGGAGAGCCAGTCAGGGCTGCCCATGCCTCTGAGAGCACCCTTTATTCGTCCTTGGAGCTGGCTGTTTAGCGTCACGCTCCCATGTGTTCTAATGGAACTTGCAAAGAACATCAGGGTGCTTGCTTCTGTCTCCCAGAGCCTTGACCTTTGCTTTTCTTCCTGCCCCGATAGGAATGCCTCCACTGCCGTCTATGCCTGCCAGAACCCGGTCCAGGAAACGTACTTCCAGCAGCTGGCTACCCCACTGCGCAACTCAGGGGTTCCCAACCCTCATGACAGTGCGTTCAGCTTACCAGGCAAGGCCAAACAAAAGCTGCTGAAGCACGGGGTGAATCTACTCTGAGCGTGGTTTGACCTCCTGGAATGGCCTGCCCAAATCCACGCCAGAAGAAGCTCTGTCTCTAATAAGCTAAAACGCCAGGACTTTTATTCCATGCCAGCTGCTCTTCAAAGAACCTGGGGGCACAAAGCGTTATTTGCGTGTTGTATCCGTGGTTGGTTAAACAGTGAGTAACCCGGAGCCGCTGAGTGCTTAGCCCCTGGGTGGTGGTCTGTATTGCCAGGTAACCCAGCATGCGGTGCGCTTGCTATGGGGCCACTTTGCATTGTCGAGGGATGGTGGGAAATGTTGACTGTTACCAAAGAATTAAAGAGGCAAATTATTGCAGTGGCACAGTGCTGCTCATGACTCACCCCTGCCTCCTTTAGCGTGACGCACCTGGAGTGCCTTGACTGAAAGCCAACGATTTGCGTGCTCTCAGCTGCACGTGGTGATGGGTTGCTGTGCAATACTTGCTTTGTGAGATGTCTGTCAGGGACCGATTCTCGCTGTGGGATTCCTGTGCCTACGCTCCTAGTCAGTCAGACTTGGAATTATTTACACCTCTGGAGCTACGGAAATGATCCTGTCACCAGGTAGTGCCTCACCTTGAGTTAACAGTGCTCTGCATATTGAATAGGAGAACAAACAACTCTCTCGCAGTAACATGAAGCACTTAGGGTTTTATAATAGCAATGTCTGGGAGGTCTCCTAGTCCCTCCATCTGTCTTCAGCATTCCTTACTTTGGTGAGCTGCTTAACACTGTCCTTCCAAACTGCCCACCAAGAGCAGAAAACCACTGTCACCTGTAGTCTCCCCACAGCATCCCTCCCTTCCATGAGTGCCATTACGATATCAGTTCGCAGGCCTGAACACACTGCACTCACTGCCTGTGGTGCAGGGCCCAGGCTGTGCTGTACCTGCACCCAGGACTTCTCTCTGTCTGCCACTCCTCCTATGAAGACACTTTTACTGCCAAAGCTGACCTTACCTCCTTGCTTTCTTGCTACCTCCCTGAATTCAGCTCTACTGTATTGGCCGAAAAGGCGAGAGCCCATTAGCTGATCACACCAAAAAGCTTTACAGCTCCTCTGCAGCTGCCATCTTTGCTGAAACAAACTGAACTCCATTTTTGGCAACTTTTTGGATTGCATCAGATTAGCAGTTACGGCAGTGTAGACCTGAGCTACGTGACTGACACCTGTCATTTCTCTGAGACCATTTTGTGTATTTCAAAGACTGCAGCTGCTCTGTGCATGAACATCTATGTGGCAGCTGAAATAAAAAAGTAAAATAAAGAGGAGTCCACAGGACTCATCCATTCACTACTAGTCAGAAATGGTAGACTCCTATTTATTGCACGATCCTCTCACCTGTGACTTCTAACACTGGGGGCTGGCTGACCAGTGGGCTCCCACAGTACCACGGGTATCCAGCGCTGCACTCTCGTTCTGTGCAAGTTACTTTGGTGCCGCTCAGTGGGGTGTCTCTGCTGCTTGGACACCCCCCGAAATCACCCTTTGGTGGCCTTTCCTCTGGAAGGCGTGGCAGAGGTGTGTGGGGAGCCCAGCACTGCATGGCAGTGGGTGAGGACAGAGGAGTTACTGGCCTGCAGGCCAGGGCTGAGGTGCCGGACCAGAGCTGTGCTGGGAACCTTGCTCTGGCCAGTCCTGTTTGCTCTCTTCCCCTCTGAGCTAGGTAGGGAAATGCTGCCCTAGTGAATCTCATCCCAGGCTCTGGCTCTGCTAGAACAATCCTGGTTTCCAGTGGGGTCCCCACCCCATTTTCATTGTTGCCTGTTTACAGGGCATCTTCGTGCAGCCCTTAGGTGGGTGGCTCAGTGAGCTCTGGGGAGATTCAGCTCCTGGCTTGCTGGGTCTGGTGGAGTCTGGCTCCCACTTTGTCAGCAGACAAGAGGGCAGCCAGCTAACTGCGGCCAAGCTCCCCACTAATGCTGGTCCAGTAGCTGAGACAGTTGGAGTGGAAAGTGCCCTGTGTAGAAATGTTAGCAGCAGCTAATCTGCTGTGGTTCCTGGCATGGGCTGAAAAGCTGATCTTCCGCGTGCAGCGATGACTGATGTGAGGTCGGCACAGTGCCAAGGCACTGCTCCCTGCACTGCAACCAGCTTGCTTGCTGTTCGTGTCCTGGAGCCAGAAAGAGCACAGACCACCCTGCAAGTGAGCAGAGAATCCTGTCCCTGTCTCAGCCCTAGCGCAATGGGCAGCATTCCTCTGACATGCTGCTGTCCTGATGCCACGCAGACATTGGTCACTCCGTGTCTTTCCACAGCCTTGCTGCTCCCCAGCAAATTAGCCAGGTTTTCTCTGAGGCATGAGGCAGGGAAGTCTCTGAATCTGTGTGACAGCAAGCTGAGCTGCTAGGGATTGCCAGAATACTCCCTCGTGCCCCAACATGTTAGAGGGAGATTATGCAGCCTCCCACCCTGGGCGTTTTGGTAAGTGGGTGCCTGAGATCCGTGAAGAGCAAGGGAACAACGCCCCGGTGAGGGGCTGTGTAAACGGCCCGACTTGGGACAGACGGGAGCTCTTGCACAGTAACGAAGCAGAAAGTAAACACATGAATTTGCTGTCTTCAGAAATCGTCTGCTACAAGCTGCTGTGCCATCTGTCAGGCATGCTCACAGCGGCGATGCCCTTGTTTTCCGTTACTCCTTACGCCTGGACAGTGAGGCCCATCCCAGGCCTGTGATTATGGAGAGGGCACTTGTCTCAGCAGCCGCACAACGCTGGGTGTCGAGTTGGAGTTTGCTGTGCTTCGAGAAAATGAAAAAATAGTGGTGTCAAAAATGACCACTAAAAAGCGGCTGCTGCGAGGGCAGAGAGTGGTCCGAGTGCCTCCCGGCCTGCTAACAGACCTGGTGCCTCTGGAGCCGAGTGATGTGTGGGACACTTCGCCTAGTTGCCCATGTGCTTTTGATCACTTACTGTTCAGTAGCAGATGCTTGACCAGCAATGCAGCGAGCTGCTTCCTAAGACCTCCCCTACCCAAGGCCACTGATGAACTTTAAGCAGTGGAGCAGGGGGCTGGACATGCTTCCCCAAATGCTTCGGGAAACCCTTCCCTGCAAGCTGGTGGCCCTTCCTCTGAGCATAGAGAACACAAATCGGGGCAGCTGGCAAGTTCCCCCCGCCCTCTAGCTCTGCATCTGCTGCTGACTGCGTTCTGTGTGGCTATCGCTGAGATGCTCTGCACCACTTCAGGCACATGCCATGGTGTTGCTGTAAGTCACAGGCTGTGGCAGGTGGGTCCAGCCGCAGTTTTCTGCCTCTTGGAGTGCATTCGGGCCCTACCCAAATGGGAGCAGACTAGCTACACACCTCAGTGGCTATGTCGCTCTGGGGGCCACATTGCAGGGTGAGGCGAGCCGTGGGCTCTTAGCTCTCTGTATGGTAATGTGCAGTGCCCCAGCGGCCAGGCACTGATACATGGGTGTGCGTGTTCTTGGTAGAATGAGATGGGCTTGGTTTGGGTCCTTGCCCCTTGGGGAGTGGGCTGCTCTCAGGGGAGAGGGCTTGGTCTGTAGCCTTCCTCCTGGCCCCAGACACAAGGACAGCGGAACCTATCTAGGGAGCTAGGCCCATCCCTTGCCTAGTGAACTAAAATGCAAGTCCTGGGTGGTTTCAGTGGGCCAAGTGGTCAGTGATGCAGGGAGGGGATGACTTTCCAAGGTCACACAACAGGTGGGTGGAAGTCAGATTTGGCATTCAATCCCAAACTCTAACCACTAGATCTCAGTGCCCCTCTGAGCCACCTTCTTGCTCTGCCAGTTCACAGCACAGTCCCTGAGCTGCAGTTTGCATTGACTTCAGGGTCTGTGTACCTCAGGCTGGTTTGTGACGGACATGCTGTCTGCTCTGGTCTGTGCAGTTGACAGAGGACAGGCAGGGCTGGTGCACATCTGAGTGTCATTAACAGGCACAGGCAGACTTGCTAGTGATGTCTCTAAGAAGCGTGTGCGTCAGCCCTGCTGGATTCCAGTTGGGTAACTGCCTTCTGCCTCCCTCCGCTCTTCCTGCAGTGTCTGGTGATACTGTACTTGTAGTGGTGGTGACTAGCTCGGTAGAGTGGATGCTGTGCAGGGAATCCTGAAGAGCAGCATAGTCTCATCCGACGTGCAGTAGTGCTGCGGCCGTGTTCTACCCTAGAGCTGGCTGCATTTTGGATCACAGTGATTCTCGTGGCTGTTCGGCCTTTTTGGGACACAGGCATTGGGTGACTGTTGAAGCAGAGCTGCTGTGCACCCTCCCTGTACGGCAAGTGGAAAGGTTTAGAATTCTCCATCCACTCAGCTGTTGAAGCTTCCCTTGGAGCTGCGCCGCACCTGGCCATTTCCAGCCCTGACTGTAACGCCATGTGCCTCTGCAGAGGCCGCGGGAGCAGCAGCTCCAGGGAAGGGTCTCGTTCCTGCTGGGCATGGTAATAGCTCTCCGAGCTGGGGGGGATTAGCAGGGGGTGCTAGACTGTACCCTGGCTGCCCAGGGAGCTCACACAGCCCGAAGTCTGTGGGCACTGCTGCTTTTGGGCAGGGTGGTGGGACCTCTTAGCGGTGGCAGCCAGGTACAGGTGGACACTCCACACTGTGGAGCTGTGTCCTGAGTCCCAGGTCCTGGCACAGGCTGCCCAGCCAGTGCAAACACGAGACATGTGAAAGCAAATACGGGGCGCTCACGGCCAGCTCTTGTCTGAGGTGCCCAGCTAGGCACGAATGGCAGGGTTCCAGCTGTGCTGCGGATTACAAGCTTCCCCAGCAATCTGAGGGCCTTGGGGCAGCTGGCTGTGGTAATGGCTTGCATTTGGGGAATAAGTGCAGGGGGGAGTGATGGGGAGGGGAGCAGGGCAGCCTTCCCGGCAGAAGATTCTGGGGGCTCCCAGCATTTGCCCCCGAGAGTCACTGTGGCTCGCAGTGCTGGTTTGGGGAAGGCTGAGGCAGCCCCAGCCCCAGTCCAGAGGGCGACACGCTGTGTGTGTGTGTCTGGGCTGGTGCACGTGGGGCATCCTGCTGGAAGGTAACCAGGTGCAGATGAGCTCAGATGAGCTGGGGCAGAAGCAGTGAAACAAGATTTATTTACTGCAATAGATTGAATTACTTCCTGCCCTGGGCCCTGCTGCCCTTTCCCACAGCCCCCCGAGGTAATTCCAGGGGCAGACTGAGTTGGTGCTGTCCTGCTTCACTTGCCCTCACGTGCCTGTCCTGGCAGCGCACTGGGATTCACGGCCGCAGTGCTGGCAGCGGGACCTGACGCCAGCTGTGCTGTTCCTGCGCCAGCTGCTAAGCAGCAGCAGCACCACAGCACGTGGAGGAGGGGAGCGGTGCTGGCCCTGGCCCTGCCCGGAACAGCAAACCCCGCCTTGTGACTGCCCTAGGGCAGTGTTCTTGCCCTCGCTGCCATCCTGCATGTGGAAGGGTTGCAGTCAAACATCAGCCCTATTCAGCACTGACCGGGTTGGAGGTTTTCCTGCTCCTCCAAAACAATTGGTGCTAGTCTGAACAGTTCTGTGGCAGTCAGTGGCATCTAGTCCTAGCCTCAACAGGCTGAATGGTGTCTGCTCTCACCTGGCACATCTCCAGTGGAGCTGCGGCGTTGGCCTTACAGCCCATGCTCCGCTTAGCAGTGTTCAGTATTGGACTAAATCTGTCTGTTTCTTCTGTCCGCTGCCTGACAGCTGCTCTGTCCCCTTTACAGCATCTCGGTATAGGTGTAGCCCTGCGTGGCAGCCTTTTCTCTGTCCTAGCCACACCTGCTTCCCTGTAGTCTTTCCTCCTAGAGCTTCTGCTCCAAATCTGGTCTTGCTCCTCTCCTTAGTACAATACCTCCCACCTGCCAGCACCAGGTTTTCACTGCAAACCAGCCATCTCAGTGGCAAGTGGAGGAAATCCCCTCCCCCCCACACACACACAGCCCATTTGATTTTTCAGCACAATTGTTTATTGATAGTCTTCCTTATGTACTGGTACCAAACTGTAACACAGTTACCGAGTCAGCCTGCTTCCTTTGTAATTCTATCACAAAGTATTCAATGTGCGTAGAAATCATGCACGTCACGTATTCTTTTAAGAAGATATTTGTGTAAAAATACTTCATGTATTTGAAACTTCTACCTTATCTTGCAATTTAATCACTGAAAAATCTGTGTAGAAAACTCATTTGAACTCAGGTGTATACTTTCCCTTGTACATCATTCAGTAGTGAGTAATCCAGGGACCCTCGCAGACTCATTTTCCTCCTCCAGCAGTTACCCGTTATCACATTTGCTTTCCAGTCAGAACAGTAAGTACATTTGGCTGTATACATGACATGCTGTGTTACACATTATACACCTGACATTAGCTCTGTACTGAGACACACAGACAATTAGATACTCTCCAAGAAAAACACATAGTTGAGCTGGTGGACACGACTCTTACAGGTAGGCAGAAGGCGATTTCCCTTCTGCTCTAGAACTAGAAGTTATTAAATACCCCCTGCGGAGGGCAGTTTGATGCTCTACCGTTCCGCGCACTGGGAGAGGAGACTGAGAACCAGACACAGACCAACTTCCTCGGGGGCTTGGGCAACTCATGCGGTTCCTCGCTACTTTCATACAACTCATCCCTTTGCCCCACCAGCTGGTGTGTCTATCCCAGCCCGGGGCGCTAAAAGCGTAAGGTAACAGCTCTGGGAGGGGTTTAGGCCAATTAACAAAAACCTTTGGTCAAACTTAAGGTTCAGGTTTTCTATGTGACTCTCCCGGGCAGCGTCTAAGTTACTCAGCTGCCTGGGGTTGAGCCCCTTGGTCGCTTTCAGCTCAGCTGAAAGCACCAGAAAGGCTGTTTTGTGTGTTCCCAGCCAATCTGACCAAGCAAGGGCTTGTGGCAGCAGGCTCAGGGCCAGACACCTTCTTCTCGAATGCACTGGAGCCGTCATCCCAGCCCTAGGCAGCCACCTGCCGTGCTATTCACACACTGGAGGAAAATGTTTTTAAAAGCCTCTGGCCCCACAGCCCCAATGCCATGTGCTAGCACAGAGCTTGTGTTTGCAAAGCACCATCACCCTCTTCAGCTTCGGGTTTGCAATGGGTCTGAACGCGCTCTGCCCCAGAGAAGTTATTCTGCACAAAGGAGCAGGGAGCCCACCGTGCTCCTCGGCCATTTCCATCGGGCTCTCCGAGTTGTCCACCCGGTGACTGTGAACAGTGACAAAGACAGGCTGAGCACAACACTTAGCTGACTTTGTTTGGCGACCACAAGAAATGTTACATTATTACATTCAAACAAACACCCTCCATTTTGTTACTCTAATTCTGAACACTGCAAACACAGTCGCAACATAACACAGACTACAGTGGTACCGCAGCGAAATCCCAGAGTGAAAATAATGCACTCTCATGGCGGAAAGAAATCCCTGAAGCAATGATGGAAAGAAAGAGACCGTAAGGTAATGCAAGTTGGAAGCTTCCATTGACAGTAACCCCGGAGAGGGGAAAACCCAACACTGTATGTGCGATGAGAAAGGTTTCCCGTGAGGCAGGCTCCCACGGGTGGAGATGGAACCGCAGCGGGGCTGCATGAGGCAAAGCCCCGGCAGGCCAGCCACCTGCCCTCGAACCCACTATGGCAAAGAAGCACGATCATCGTCCTGGAGCAAAGATAAAATCAAGGGCTTGGCGCTCGGCAGCTGCAACATTCGGGTGCCACAAATCCACCATAAAGATCACACGAGGGCCCTCTTCGGGGGGACCTACACAGAACACAAGAGCCCAGCCATGAGGCACGAGCAGGGGTCCTGGCGCTCACGCCACAGTGCTGCACTGTGCTGGCTTCAGGAACCCCCATGCACACATCTCCCTTCTCGGGCAGGCAGCGGGGCTCTGTTCTTCTGCCTAAGGGTGTCCGCACGCTGCCCTGCCCTGGGACAGAAACTAGCCTGGAGCCCGCCTGGCAAGCAGTGCAATAGCACTCATGGTGCAACAGGGAGGGCTCTGCCCCGCCCCACGCGTCTGTACCACAGGGGCCCCTAGCCCCATCTGCCACCCCAGACCTTTGAGAGGGTCTTTCAGCCAGAGGGAGCCCAAGAGCTTCAAGCTGATGGTTGTACAACGGCCCCCCTTCCTCCACTCCGCAGGGGTGGGTACGCTCAGCCACGTGTACAATGCCCAGCGGTGCCACAGAACCATTGGGAACAGGATGTGAAACTCTGCCTGTCCATGGAACTGCATAAGGCATTTGAATGAGGCAGCATGTAATGACCCTCTAGATGATGGCCAGAACAGTGGGGGGAGGAGGGTGTCTATTCCCCTGAGGCTCCAGGTCTGTGCCCCCCTGGCTATCTGTCCAACCCCAAGGGACAGGAGTTATTTACTGACCATTGGCCAGGCTCTCCTCTGAAACAGAGCCCTGCCAGCACCACAGTGCCCCCCTCCTGCCCCAGGTGGTGGAACTGGTTCAGTACTGACTGGGTGGGAGAGGTGCCCCCTACTGAGTCACCAGCATCACAGCAAATGTCCTTGGAGGTTTCCCAGCCAAACACTGCGTGCACCTGGTGCTGCTTAGCATGCAAATGCCAAGACTCTTGTGTTTGTCCCATAAACTGAGCAATGCCCTGGGAACCGCATGCTAATCTGCCCTTGGCAATCCCCCAGGTCTCTGGGAATGGGCTGTTTTCCCATTGCTGCAGGAGAGTTTATGTGGGGAGCAGCACCCACTCTCCCCAAAGTACTCCCTGTGTAAACCAGCATGACAGCTGCTCCTATGCCATCACCCACTCAGACAGGTTCATTCAGCAGAACTCCCATAAGTGAACCAGGAATGAGAAGCAGCTCTACCCAAGTGAAGGGAAAGGGACATAAAACAGGTACAGGGCTCCCATCCCTTCCCCCGGGGCAGTGAGCAGCACGAGAGCACACACCAGGCCCGAGCAAGGGAAAGAGCGCTGCAGCAGCGGACCCAGCCGTATTTCCTGCTGCACCAGGCCAAAGTCAGAGGGGAGGAGTCAGAGGACACCTGACCCAAGGAGGAAGAGATGGATTCAGCAGAAGCACCTGTGCCTGAAGCAGGAGTCAGACCAGACCCACAAGGAAACTGTGCTTCCTGCTACCAAGCGTGAGTACTTGGGAAATGGCAGACGATCTGGATAACTGGGTGGGGAAGAGCGTTCACTGAGGCTAGGTGGGAGGTAGTGGGTAGAGTCTGAGCTTCCCTCCCTGTATTGAGGCAAAGAGACTACCTGGCACAAAGCATATCAAACGCTTCGCACCATTTGCCACATCCTGACTTGTCAGTGATGCTGTCTGTTACTATTACTTGCCATAAAAGCGGCTTGTGTGGCCCTGGGTGGCTCCCAGGCAAGGAACCTTGCTCTGGGGAAGTGGGGAATCAGGACACAGCTGCCCTTTGCATTTCTATTATAGCAGCTTTGCAAAACGTCTGCCCACCTGCGGAGCAACATGCTGGTTTTCATGCTCCCTGTCACCATGGGAAAGGCAGACAAGGAGGCCTCAGGCCTGGGCTGGCAAATGCTTGTGACAATTTTGCAAGGCTGAAATAAAGTCGCAAACACAAGTCAGGCCAAGCAGCTGACTGCCGAGGTGGAGTGGGCCCTGGGCTCTTCGGAAGCTGTGTGTGCCGCCCCTCTCCAGGAGCAGCTGGGGGTTAGTGATGTGCAAGCCCCAAAAGGCTTGGGTTGGATAAATACCTAACACCTCTCTGCAGGAGGGGGCTGGGTGCAGAATCTGGAAGGAAGAGGCCTCGTTGAGATTCCTAGCCCCTTCTGGTTATTGGCTGGGACCGACCTCCTGCCTTTTCTCAGGGTTTTGAGTGCAGGGAGACCAAGGGAAAGCCAAACCATTGATCCAACCCTTTCCAGGCCTTGGAGGAGGGTCTGCTGTACCTGCCCCAGCTTATCCCTCCCTTACTGGGTTGGAGGAGCCTGAATGTAAACCTGTTTTAAAGGCTGCCGATAGCTGAGTGAGGTGAGGCGGCAGGGGCGTCTAGAAGCAGTGAGCCTGGCAGGAGCTGGGCATGCTGTACTTGCCTTCGTGAAATGCAGTGTGCAGAAAGGAATCGTCAAACAGGAGGCATCGGCCTTCAGCCCAGCACTGGGGCTCGCCACCCACCACCAACTCGCAGTTGCTGGGAGTCTTCAGACCTTCAGGTACGAAACACAGGAGAGAAAAGAGGACAGGTGTGGGTCAGGGGAGCTGTGTCTAGGTGGCTAAACCCTCCCTTTTCTTTAGGGACCAGGTGAACCCTTTGTCTGAGCCGTGGGCCAAGCCCTGGAGTTTGCATCTCCAAGCCCCATTGCATCACTTTCCCATCATGCTGAGCTTCACCAGCCTGAAGCCAGAGCTGCGAGGTGCAGTACGTAGCCACAAGCAGCTACCCAGCGCAGCCTGCCCTGGCGGTTAATGGCCACGTTAGCGAACCACGTTTCAGGAGAGCTTGTGATGTTTTTAATGGGGGAACTGACTCTCCCGCCCAGGAATGAACTGCAAGCAGTGAGCTGGGTGATGTGGCTTGTACTGCAGTGAGGGCTGGAGCGTAAGGAGCCGCTTCCGTCTGTGTCCCAAACGTGTCTGGTGCTTAGCGGGGCTGGCGCTGAGCCAGAATTCAGATTGACAGAAATGCTGCACTCCATCTGCAGTGCTTGGAACTTGGGCAGGTGCTCAGTGCCCGTGTGGGCTTCCAGCTCAGCCAATGCACTTCAGTCCTGGCCTGCACCCACACCCAGCTCAGCAAGGGCACCCCTCCCCCCTCAAGCCAGTGCCTGACCGCCATACAACCCTGTGTGGTAACGGAAGGCTGGTTGTATTCAGTGCCTGTCATGAACGAGCGTGATACCACAGACTCCTTTCTTTGGGGGGAGCCTGGAGGCGCAAGGTGCCCAAAGCAAAGGCACAGGAATCCTGAGGCATTTCTCTGGCTTTGGATCGGAAGTCCGAGGGAAGCAGAGATGTTCTGCCCTGGTCTGATGGGGAGGGCACTGGACTGGGGCTCTCGAGAGACCTGGATTCAGTTCCTGGCTCAACCACAGACTCCCTGTGTGCCCTTGGCCGAGTCATTTAATCTGCCTGGTGTCTTGGATCCCTTCTGTACCATGGGGCTAGCAGTGCCCCACCTCCCAGGGGTGCCATGAGGGCAACATCCAGTCATGATTGCCAGGTGCTCAGATACTATGGTGACAGTGGCCTTACGTATACCTAGATGGGTAGAAATCCAGGCAGCCCCAGCTAACCCGGCTATGATGGACTGACCAATGCCACCGAGAACACTGTACTTTTATTGAGATATTAATACACCAAGGACCCCCAGCAAGCAGCTGACTCCTTGAGGATACCTTCTGGTTTGTGAAAGTAACGTCCCGCATTACAGCCTGGGGATCAAGCTGCTACAATGGGGCCAAGAGACTGTGTATAACTGGGGGAAGACACAGGGATCCGTGCACTCCTGAGTCTCGAATGGTAACATATGGCATGTGTTCCGCTGCTGCTCGGAGCCCCAGGCATTCAGAACACCCACAGCAGGAGACTGACTTTGATGCCAAAAACACGTGGGCCCAACAGGGGCTCCCAGCCGCCCAGGAGAGCCAGGCTTGTTTATGTTTCTTTGATGTACGTTTCAGAGACTGCAAAACAAAACCTGGTTCCCTCCACACACGCTGTCCTGAGCTGCAGAAGCTCCGTCCTAGAAGATGGGCATGAGGAAGAGCGTTGGGCACTGGCTTAGCAATGTCTAGCTGACCCCCTCTGGGCTGAAGCAGGGCTTGAAGCCTGGAGAAAGCACCGCTCGTGGCATTGGGCATCCAGGGATGGGAGCCGGGGAACCTGAGCCTAGAGATGGTGCCACAAGCTCACTCTAAACAGAGGTTTAGCTACTCCATGGCAGGGCACACCGGGGCGCTGCAGCAAGCTGACCAATGAACAAGAGCAAGGTAGGGTCTCCTAGGGGGCTTTAAACACACACAAGTCTCTGCTCTCCACTGGGGGAGCTGGGACCTTAGCACTAAGGCAGGGAAAGAGCACTCCGGGGTGCCCTGTCACCAGACCTCCGAGCACGTGGAGTGGGAGTCTGGGAAATGCCAAAGGGAAGGGGTAGAACGGCCCAGCCCTACCGGCGCAATCTTCCCCACTGTTCAGCTCCACCTGGAGGGGAGACGCTAGCGAGCCCACAACCCAGGCTGTGCTGCTCTGCTCATTGTTTCCCAGTGTCAGAGCTAGCCCGTTCCCTGCTGGGCTACTCCCCTTCCCTGAGTGGCTCTGGGCAGACCGGCTTACACTGCAAATGGCCCTTGGCTTGTGCACAAGTCAGATGAGCTAAAGTTCAGAAGCCTGGAGGCCAGCCCGAGGCAGTGCTGGGCACGTGGCTCCCGCCCTGGGGGCACAATGAGGCCTGGAGTCCAGGGGCGAGGCCTGACAAAGGTAGGTTCTGTATTGCCAATAGCCGGGCCCCTCGCTGTGACCCTGACTTTATGGGAGGGGATAAACCGCCAGCAAGGCTGAGCCGGTGGGAGCCTTGGCAGGTGGTGTCTAATAGTTGCATTGCTCTTTCCATCCCGCTCCTAGGTGCCTCGGCCTGTCCCTTCCAGAGGAGAGGAGATGGGGAAGTTGATGGAGAGCGCTACTTGTTCCTCCTCCCCCGGCCAGACTCAGCCAGCTCCCCAGCTAGCCTAGGGAAGGGGGAAGGGGAGCATGGCTCTAGCTGACCTGGTCAAGCTCTGGGGCTAGAGAGCTGCTTTGAAGCTTGCCTCTAGCTTAAAAACAACAAGCAAGTGCCAGTGTGTGTGTGCCTGGCAAAGGTGGCTGACCAGTCTTGTGGGGTGTGCCAGCAGGGCCACAAGCAGATTCTTCCCCCACCACAAACATTATTGCTTTCTATGTTCCAGAATCCTGGCTGTGCGCAGCAGAGACACTTTCCCAGCCAAGCTCTCCCAAGGGCTAGAGGGCTCCCAAGGACTGTCAGCAATCCAGGCTTTCAGCTCCTTGAGCTGTAAGTACTGGGCTCTGCTCGGAGACCAATCTGCAGAGGCCAGATGCTGTCTGGGCCTCTCCTCCCCTTGCTTTTCAAAGGGATGGCTGATGTGCACAAAAACAGGCTCCTGCGGCTTCAGTTAGAGCTGCCCCCGCTGAGGCTGCTGCTTGGAGGCAGCCCCTTCTGCGCCACAGTCATCTCACAGCAGCAAAACCTGAGTCACTAACAGCAGCCCCACTCCAGATGATGAAGCTGCAGGAGGAGGGGCACAGGCTCTGAAGCAACTAAGATCCTGTTCTCGTGCCCGTGGCCCAGGAGGGATGGTATCTAAGTGAGGGTTTGCCAGTTTCCCTGCCAGTTCAGCGTTCCCTCGTGGTTCAGGTGGAAGTAGCTGGAGTGTCTGGGGCAGCCCAGAAAGGCCCCATCACTTCAGAGCCTCCCAGGCAGTGAGCATGTCGTCCCCCACCCCCTGTCTGCAGTCAAGCTAAGCGTTGTCTATCCATACCATTTCAAAAGGGCTGAAAAGAAATGTGGTGGGGGAGAGGAGGAGAAATCCCCCTGGCTGCTGAGCTAGAGGCCATGGAGAGTTCTTGGCAGAGTGGGGCGGCTGGAGCCCTTCCTGCATTTCGAAGGGAAGGTGCGGCACCCAGTGGGAGCTCTGGCCTACATAATGTTCCTATTGTGCTAAAAAAAAACCCTAGCAAAACACCAGGATCAGCTCCTGGAGACACAAATACCAATGTCTGGCTCCTCGGTGGCTTTGGGTGTCGTGTGCAATCTGAGAGCAGGCTCAGAGCTAGTAAAGAGAGAAAAGCTGCGCCTCATGCAGGACCCTTCCATCCATCCTAGCAGTTAATCTCACTGGTTCGGGAGTGTTTGCAGTGACGCTCCGTCACCCAGAGAGTCACTTCTTTATTGCCCAGTTTCTCTGACTCCAGTTTCCTAAAATCTGAGCTTACGTTTCCTTCCTTAGCTCCAGGCCACTGTGCCTTGAGCAGCATCTTCCGAGACAGAATTATTCCCTCCTTTCCCTTTACGCTGCGATCATGACCCCTCTGTGACTATCCTAGTTTAGGGTAATCCTTATTATTATACAAATCTAATCCTTGTATAATTTTTTTACCCTTCATAGGATGGTCTCTAAATCCTCCTTTAACTTTGATGAGAACAGACTAAACCTGTCAGGATTTGAACTCAGTACCTTGAAAATACAGCAAACTCTTCACTAAGTTCCACAGCCTTAGAAGAACTAACATTAGTTTTAGCAACAAAGAAGGAAGAAAAATACCTGTAGCTCTTCTCTGCTTCTGCTGGATACATACCTAAATGGCATCGTATGCGGATGTTGGTTGGGCCATAGTGCTCCCCAATGACCGTGCCAGGGGTCAGCACAGAGATGCACGCGTTCCCAAAGACATTGTTGCCAATGCAGGTGCGGAGGCTCCCAAGTAAGCGATACGTCCGTGGGCATTTCCTGCAGTTCTTGGGAACGCACGTGCCCTGGTTCACCAGGTAAAAGGTGAACCACTCCCCGCTGGGCGTGCTGTTCATTTTCCATCCTTGCGGGAGGCTGCAGTTTGAGAAAGCTTTGTAGAGGGTCTCGAATTCACACAGGATGGTCTGGAAGTTGCGTTCCAGTAACTCCACGTCGTGTTTTTGAGCGTCCCGTGAGAAATAGGGCATTGTTGGTAAGTCTGGTAAGAAGAAGACTTCTGGCTTCTGGATGGATGGTCGGCTGTTTAGGTAACGCCCTTGCTCTCGGATCCCCTTGTGGATCCTGCCCATGCCAGACCAGGAGTAGCGCTTGGCATATTCCTGCAGATTGTGATAGAGTTTCTGGTTAAGCCCATCGTTACGTGCGCAGCGCACACACGCGGGGGAGTGGCAGTAAGCGTACCCGTTCTGCAAGCCATTGGCATCGGAGCTCTGCATGAGGGAATTCACAGTGACATACGTGCGGGGCTGCTCCCTGCCAACGTGGTAACAGTACCAAACAAACAGGACCAAGAGGCAAGCGACAGCAGTCAGTGCAGTGGTGTCACAGTCCCGGAAGGACTGGATCCCTGTAGCTATAAAGTCCCGGAGTCCATCCAGTGACCAGCTCCAGTCCATCAGCCACTCCAAAGACATTTTTGTGAAGCTGTTCTTAGAGGTGTATAAAAGGGCCAGGTGATCAGTCCTCGTGGTTCTTAAAGGCACCCACACCATGCAGGTTAGTAGGGGCACGGAGGGAAGGGCTTGCCATGGAGAAGCATAGTTGTACCTGTTCCCTGGACACCTGTAAGCACTGCATTAGTGAGTGGCAGGTTGTTAGTGTTCACATCTACATGTTTGACGAGGCCTGTGCCACGGTATCAGGAAGCCCTACGGTGCTGTTATCGTTAGTGAAGCATCAACTGTGGCATCCCTGCCAACGTTCTGAGGTTATTCGTTCTCAAACGCAGCGCAGACAGGCAGGGTCTGAAAAAAAACAAGAACCCAGATGGGCATTAGGGTTTTTTCAGTCTGGAATTACTCACCGTGTGTCGGATTCAGCATCTGCTTGCTGTTCTGAGGAGATCTGGATCCCATTCTGCAAGCTGCAGGAACTAAGCAAAGGGGGGGGGGGGGCGTCATTTAAGTGAAAATATTTGGACCAATAAAGATAGAACAGGAAATGAGGCCCCTACCCAACCCTGCCAAGTATCTTAACCAGATGATGGACATTGTCTTGTGCTGGGTTTCCTCCATCCCTCCCACCCACATTTTATTCCATGAATATCAAACAGGATGTGAACCCAGTTGGGGGAGCATCAAGTGATTACCCAGCCAAGCCTCTGTCCCTTGCTACTGGTGCACATTCTTCCATTCCCTCCTCGAGCGCTGTGCAGTAGTCAGCGCTGCTCCCCCCGATCCTTTCCTCCTGCCTGCTACAGCATCACTTCTAAAATCTGGTTGATGCATAGCCAGGGGAGAAGCTGGGAATGTTCTTTTAACAGATGTATCTTGTACCACATCACAGATTAAACCTTGATCTAAATGCTCTGAAATGACTCTCCTTTCAGGGAATAGAGCGCTTTCCACTGAGAACAGATGATGCCGCTCAGGTGGTTCCTAACAACAGAATCCATGTTGGTGGAATGCCAGCTTTTCTCGTTTTAGACGCACAAAGTGGAAATGAGTGCCCCCTGTAGGGCGGCAGGGAGAGGGACGCCCTGGAGCATACCGCGCTCCTTAGCTCTGCATAGCAAAGCAGTGGGATTGAAGTTACCAGACAGGTGAGCTCCTCAAGGATCAGAGGGTCTGTTCAGACAAGGCTCCTGACGTCTGTGCTCTTCAGGAAGTATCTAAAGCTGTAATCTGCAGAAGTCACGAGGCTCTTTCACAGGATCCCAATACTGCCTGCTTTGAGTGGGCTAGCAATGCCATAGGAACAGTCACTCTCTGACAGAGCTGGGCACTGCTGTGACCAGGGGACACCAGAAAGGGCAGAAGAATAAATTGGTGAGCGTGGGGGGGTGTGAGGGGTGGAGGTTTTTTTCTTTTTTTTTCTTTTCATCTAATTAACCAAACTTATCTAAGTCCCAACGAGGTGTCGGGTTTGCTGTGCACCCTAGGCAAGGGTTCACACCAGCTCTTGTTCTATCAGAACTGGGTCATAGGAACCTCATTCCCACCTGCTTGGTAATCAGACTTGAGACCTATTTTGTTTATATCTTATTTTAAAAATCTCAATTTCATTTAATTTCTCTGAAGCCATCCTGCTGTGTGCGCCCATAGCATGTCTCTGCCGCCATCTATTCTTACCCCCATTTCCTCTATCTGTTACTCACTTGTTGCATTGTCTTTAATTAGACTGTAGGCTCTTTGTGGCAGGACCTGTCTTCTTATACACAATATTTTACATAGCACCCCACACAGTGGGGTGGTGATCTTGATTGGGGCCTCTGGGAGTTGCCACAATATACATAATCCTGGACTGGGGTTCTGCACTTTGGGGTTAGGGCAAATCTAGGGCCCACTGTACCAGACTGCCCCCAAAGTCCAACCATTCCGCCAAGCAAAGGGTGCTTTTCCACTCAGTAACTCTCTCCACCGTAACACACAGTTACTGGCTTCGGGGGCCGATCACCTATAAAGCAAATCACAGTTCCCTGCCCTTTGAACATCCTGTGGGGCTGCAGCCCCTGTTCAGTAAATGGAAGCTGAAAAGGTGCCTAGGTGCATTCATGGAAGGCTATGCCCCTTCATACTATCAGACCGAGGGAGAAGAGCAGCTGAGAATTATTTTGGCAAACCAACAAAGAACCAATGTTTTTAAAGGTCAATACCTACAAAGTTCCAGTCCACATGGCTGCTCTGTTCCTGCACTTTTGTCAAGGGTCTTTTGAAAGCACCTGATAGAAAAATGGAATGGGGGATTTACAAAGTGGATCTGAGTGTAAGTGTTCCCTTTAACAGGAGAGAGCTTCTCTGACTATCGCATTGGTTTGCTCTGAATTCTCTCCCTGGGAATCTTGGAGCAGGAAGGGGAGGGGGGAATGAAGGCAAAAGCACAACTAGGGTTTTCAAATATGTGGATGTTTTCAAAAATGTAACTCCTATTAGTGGGAAAGGAAGTGCACTACCAGAGCAGAGAATGGACATGTGTATCCACTGCAATCAGCCATTTAGATGCCATAAAGCAGTTGGAGGATAAAGTGGCTGATAACTTCACTCAACTATACAGAGATGATTTATATTGTAATAGTATTTTCTGTACAAATTATATCCTCCAAAAGCTTCAACCAAATGTAATAGCTACCAGCAGAGGTCCATAATGAGAAATAGAGAGAGATGGGCTGTCTGAAAATATTTTAAAGTAGATGGAGAGAGAGAGTCTGGCAAAAGTTGCAGGGGAGAAGGTTCTTGCGCCAGCAGTGGTGAGACAGTACAGAGGACCAGGAGGGTGTTTGTGCTGTTATGTTCCAAAGCAAGTTATATGTAAGGCACAAACTGCTTATCCCTTGGTGAAATGGCCTAACTGGCTAAGTGCTTTGGCTGCCCAGTGATGCTGTTGCTGAGGTCCTGGCAGGTTGGGGCGCAAGGCTGAGGCAGCTCTATACCAAACTAGAAAAAGGCACTTTTAGAACAAGTACATTTGCAAAACTAACTTCCTCCCATTCTGTTTCCCAGTTTTCACACTGTGTGCAGCCAGGGGCTTTAAGGGCAATTCCTCAAAGTGCATATGGCACCTCTGTAGTGTCTGCAAAGGAACTGTGCATTGTGATGGGCTGGAGCAGGCACCTGTTGTATCCCTTTGAAATACTGACTCCTTGAACACAGGTCTTGGCTTTAAATCAGTAATTGTGTTCAGGGGCTGCCTGGGGTGTGTGGTGAGCAGGTGCACTTGGCAGAGGAGGGATTTGTACTGAAAGCATTTTTGTTATGTTTCAAGGTGACATCTGCAGAAGTTGCTGGTTCAAGGTGACTGCAAAGCTTTCCTTTAACAAATGGGTTGATAAAGTTAATATCCCAAAGGAGGCAAAGGGAGCAGGTGTCCATCTGACTGCTACAGGGTGATCACCTGGCACACTTGTGCCACTGGCAGCATATCCCCACCTCTAGCCCTGCCCCTCAAGGATAACTCTTCAGCCACACCCCCAACAGAGCTTCCTGCTCAGCAGGAAATGCCTTCAGAAGCATGTGTGCCACAGGCAGGCCAGGAGAACCCCCTTTCCACTTCAGAACAGGATTTGGGACCACTGAAGCGGGGTGACAACACAGGAACCACTGCCTAAGGGGCAGGTCTATTTGCAAGGGTTTAGCTAGCTTGGCTGGATGCATCCAATGAAACTGCAAGTTCTTTACCTTAATACTGAGTCTCAGTCTATTAATTAAAGGCACCTGGTGGCCTGGGATCCAGAAGCTTCAGCATCAGTTAATAATAAACTGCAGAATCAGTTCAAAATAGAGACAATCAATTTAAAATTACATGGAAGCTGCACACGTAAAATGTAGCTTTGCTGTCTATGACAGCAACGATGTTACATAACGAATCAAGGCAGGATTAGAGGCTGCAGAAAGTTAAACTAAAGGATTCTTACTGGAGCGATAGGCAGTTTTCAAACAGACCGGCCTTTGCACCAAGCATGGTCTCAACCTTGGTGGGTTCTGGATCTGATCGCCATGGAGCAAAGAGCATTTTGTTGTCATTTGCTATGCTGTCCCAGGCCCCGCATTCGAGGAATCTTCTGTTCTCACTGCGAGGAGGGAACCTCCCCACCATAAACAAGTGCTGGGGTGAGGCAGGGAAGGCTGTCTGTTACCACAGTGCTGGAAACACCAGGGTTGTTTTTCAAAACGTCTCTATTGTGCTGGTGTCATGAAGTGCCCAGCCAAGCATGGGATGATAGGCCTCAGCAAGACATATGCTGACGGCAGCCACATTCACAACTCTCCAGCCTCAAGAACAGCAGCTCAAAGGAACTCTTCTGGATTTTCCTCTGATTTACACCTGCAGGGCCTATATTAAGGCCCCATTAACATCCTGCATCTACTGCAGAAAAGCAGATTGACACCTGTCTTGTGAGCTGCTAGTCTCAGGCACCCACAGCTCTGAGGGAGGAATGCATGACACGGATTCACTAGCGTCACCCCCAGCCCCAGGCATGAAGATGCTCCCGTACAATGCAGGGTTACAGCAGCCACCTGCGTTCGGGTGGCTGCTTGCCATAAGGCGGGTCACGACCCTGCCCCTGGCACCCTGTTAGCAGACATTGCAGCCTTCGTTCACCGTGGGAATCTGAAACCACAGCCTGGGTGTGAGGCACAGCCTTCTCCTTTGCTCTGTGGCATTTGTCGGCCAACCTGCTGCCCCATTTGCCTGCGTCTCTCACTTGAGGCACAAGGGGTAAGGAGGTAAAAACACCCAGGGCAGCACCTATGGTATCGGCAGCCCCAGCTCCCCACTTCTCCCCCTGCCTCAGGCAGGGCACTGGCACCCCTAGGTTAACACCCGGACAGGACGAGCCACCCCTGGGCACTGCCGGGTATCCCTTGGCAGTCCTGACCCCCTGCTTCAGAGCCGCCTGACTGCCGGGGCTCCCTGCCCTAGGCACCATGCCGGAGACCCTGGGGGCACAAACACCCCCCCCCCCAGTCAGTGCCCCTGCCCTAGGCCGGGGACCCCAGGGGGCATGGACATCTTCCTCCAGCCAGTGCCCCCTGCCCTAGACACTGTGCCGGGGGGACCTGGGGCACAGCCCCCCCCCTCCAGCCAGTGCCCCCTGCCCTAGACACTGTGCTGGGGGGACCTGGGGCGCAGCCCCCCCCTCCAGCCCGCGCCCCCTGCCCCAGACAGTGTTGGGGGGACCTGGGGCGCAGCCCCCCCCTCCAGCCCGTGCCCCCTGCCCCAGACACAGTGTTGGGGGGCAGGGCCCCC